GCTTTTTTGCTCTTCCAAATCGTATTCAGCTGGGATAGTTACTTAATTTATTGTATCATTATTCGAATACTTGGAGAGGGGATGGAAACAGCCAAGCAAGCCGTTTGCCCACTGAAATCAATGATTGATAATCATAGGTTTTGTTTTTGATTAAAATTAAAGTAATTTATTTTCTTTTATATCTTCATAGGATGCCGGGTTTGAAGCCACTTTGCTACCGATGCTCAATAATAAGTAACAAAACTAACTTTCGACACAAAGATTGCATTAGAATCTGAAGAATATAATTATTTTTTACTTGTACTGAGGTAGATTCGTGGAAACAAAATGCCATGGACCCCGTTTTGAGGAGGGAGAAAATCTGGAAGCGGATGTGAATAAAGGACAAAGTTATTACAGAAAGATGGTGAGCTGAGGGTCTGAGAAACATTAAATACGTGTGATTGCAACAATGGTCCTGAAATCCCATGCTCCAATTGTGGAATGCTTTTCTTAACGCGAGCAGATCTTGCTAGTCGCACTCGCCATCGCCATAGGCTGTGATTCCCATGCCTCCCCATAGCAGAACATAACAGTTTGGTCTGATGAGACAGAAATGAGCCAACATAATTCTTCTTATAGTGCATGACATTTGGCATTGGTAGTCACGACTGACCACAGCCATTTGGTTACGGGTACTGCTAATTATTTCTGCTACACTTTTTTATTCTCCTCCATTCTATGTTGCTAAATTGCCCAAAATCATCTCCCGGGTTCTTATTTTAAACGTCGCTAATTGTTCCATACTTGTGACCGAAGGTAATCAGTTCTTATTGTTGTTGTTTTCAAAAACAAATGCCGTTCCTCTTGTTAATCTGCCTTCTATGTTTTCCATATTTGTCTACATTTATCTTCAACTTCTACAAAATGTTTCACTACTATACTAATTGTCCACTATTTACCTGCTCACGTCATTACTGGTTCTTTGTAGCTCTCTTATCTTAAGTGTCAAAGACACGAGACATGCTGCTCATATTTAGTGGTTCAAAGCTAAAAAAAAGATTTAAAAAAAAAAAAAGGCAAATATGCAACTTATCACAAACAACAGAACGAGGCATTTTAGACGACATGGCAAGAATAGGCAAACTGTAAAATGTGAGAACAGTGTTTTAGAAAGAGTGAAAGAAGAAAACAAGACGAGAAAATATTCTTAACAGCCTTTTAACCTGGCTTGGAAATGTACCAGCATACGAGACACACTGTAGGAGATCGCAAGCTGCCGGAAGCACTATAACCTTTTCTGTCTGCAGGGCTGATGACGATGATGATGAAGATGATGATGTTTATGATGACTAACATAAGTATGCCTTTAAAAGTGTAATAATAAGGCTAAAATATCCCTTAAAATCTGCAAAACAAAACAGGGACAGATAAATTCTCCTTACAAGAAGGTACAACATGGCTAAAGAAGACTGCGGAAATAAGAACTGACATCATAGCATACCGAGCATACCCATAGAATAGATGCGCACCCAAAACAAATAAAGGTGATTTTATTACTTTAAACATAAACAAAAGGTACGTGACCTCGTAATTGAGATTTTATTCTTTACAAATAAAGTAAGGCAACCAAAACTGACAATTTCAGGTATTCCTTCTCAGTTAATTCAGGGGGCTGCGTGGTCTCAATGCATGTTGTGCTAGAGGTTCATGGTTCAATCCCCGGTAAGGGCTGGAATTTTTTCACTTGGACTTGGACTTTAAGAATTTCTCTTGTCTCTGGGTAGTGAGATCGGACGCCCGTGTGCCTTGATGTGCACGTAAAAAAATTCACTGGCAGTTGGAAATCGAAAAGAGTAGACTAACGGCGCTGCCCGGGGAAATTTAGAGTTACAAATCTACCCAAAGTTTTTCAGGATCATCGCTGGTCCTACAGAGTCTGTGCACTGTGCTGAGCATCTTCAGACTCAGGCTTGAGTTAGAGAAAGAACGAAGAACTTATGGGTTGCTACCCGTGTGTCATGATGTTGATCCGTTGTTCAAAACCTTAAAACCTCAAACTCAGTTAATTTAAGTAGACTGAAGTTTGTTAAAAAAGCTGTGAAGACGCTGTTCTCCTCCGGAAAGATTTTCGATAGTTTGCTAATTCTCCAACCCAATTCAGTCACATGCCCAATGTGTCTTTTAATGCGCCATGGCCATCTTCGTGCTGATCGATCAGTTAACTCTTCTTCCAGAAATCATATCTTTGATTGCTGTTCTTTCTGAGCCAGCGTGACAAGTAATAAGGTTGGAGAATTTCGGTTTCCGGGATACGATGTTGTTTATGAGCCACATTTCTAGGATGTTATAATCTTGCTAGATTTTTTTCTGTTTTTTTTTTCTTCGCTTTCACTCGCTGTAAACTCCGACGGAAAGTTCTGGATGTTCGTCTACCTCCGGACTTGAGTCTTTTTCCAGAACCCGAGTGTTGTGTGCACATCCATTTCACATATCTAACTTATTTGTATGCAGACTCTAGGTTCCTTACCTTTCCAGCAAGGGTACTTGGACTTTGAAGTATGTCCCTAATTAATGTACTTCTACGACATGCTTGTTGTTTTTAGGCAGTGGGTCTATTTATGATTTTGTAACAATGGGTCCCTGGAACCTACAGAGGGATTGTTGGATGTCAGTTTTGGTGTATGTGATTGATCAACTGATGTTAAATCCCCCCCTGGACATCACACCGAGCGATAAACACAAAGTGCCACCATTCGGACGAGGATCACCCGGGGACAGGTCCCAGAAACCCCGTTCAACCATAGGATGGTTTATATAAGGGCTTTCAACAAAGAAGACACAAACAATAGACTGCACAATTTATTGTCTGGCATATTTCGCTGTATCTCGTCAGGTGCATACTACAGTAACAATTAATTAAAATGAAGCAAGTAGCTGAATCCTAGAAACTGAAACACAAATTCGAGTACATTCTAAACTGTCTGTATATATAAGGGCTCCGAAAACAGCCTAGGTGTGACTTTAGAGCAACAATACAAAATTGCGTCTGACTCTGATGCGAAGATTGTGCGGTGTGTGTTTGCCTCCCTTCCCCTCACACCCTTTCTTATTTTCAATTTATTTTATTTAAAAAATTGCTTTGTAATAAATCTTATTCTTCTTCAACGTTCCGAGCTCTTGAGGCTTATTGTTGCATATACCCCCTCCTCTAGTAATCTCTGTATGTGTCCTTTACTGCCTGTAATTTGTTTCTCCATTTTCTTCTTGGTCTACCTCGTGGTCTTTCCTTTTTAATTCTTTTAAGTTTGTGTGTGTGTGTGTGTGTGTGTGTGTGTGTCTGCCATATTTTTTTCATTATGGCCACAAATTTCAGTGCAGTTAATTGCAAATAGCCCTCACTAAGCCGATAATTAGGAGCGATTTAAACAGATTATAAACGTCATTTATAATAATAGTTAAATGCTGTTGTTTTTATAATAATTATTAGTATTATTACGGTTCCCCTTTTTTTTTTTTTTTGGCACTCCTGTCACAGAGTTATTATTTTAAGTCCTGCAGACATTCTATTCTTTTAGAGTTTCAACGATCCCTAGAACACAGACACCCCCCCCCCCCTTTCCCCAACTTTTTTTCCCCGGCGAATTCATATCAACATCCACACCAGTCTCTGTTGATTTGTACGTGAAGGATTTCTGCAGTTAATCTTTGCTCCGGGGTAGCTCAGCCAGAGTAACCTTAACCCACCTTAGTCGCTTCTTTCGACATGAATGTGAGTGACAGCAATATACTGTTTTAAAAAAAAATAAATAGTTTAGAAAATTTAAACTTATAATTGTTTGAGAAAGTAAGATTCGAAAACAAAACCTGCAGTAAACAGAAATGACTTTTTAGTCAGTATAGCACTGATTTGTCTCCTGGTCCTCCAGGCTCGGGAGTTGGGCGCAGTGTTGACAGCTCTGCCCTGTAAAAAAAAAAAAAAAAATTACAACGTTACTGAAACTTCAAGAGGAAATAAGTGCTCTAAACGTCCGGCAGTCTTGAGACAGAGACCCTATGTCAGCATGGCATCTCTGACATGGAAAACTGAACTGAGAATTGCACAGGACAGGAAAGCATGGAAAGTCTTCTTTGAAGCCTCATGTGCCACTAGGAAAAAGAGAATTGATTATTGATTGCAATGATTTGAGTAATAGGACAAAGAAAGTAGGGTGCCAGATACTACGTTTTCCGCAGATTCCTCCGTTTCTTTCCAGCCTGTTCTCCAGCCCAGTGTGCTTTCATAGCCAGTGCACCTTCAAAGTCCGGTACCATTTTTGTGGCTGTCGCCATCTGTCTCGTTTTCCAAAACTGCATCCTCGATCACCATTGTCGCCAGACCACCGTGGTTTTTGACATGTCCAAAATACTTCAGCTTTCGGGAGATGATGATGCTGTTGACCAGCCAGTGGTGCTTGATGTTTAGGTCATGCCTGATGTCGACGCTTTTCTTCTTCTTGGTCCATCCTACTTTGTTATAGCTTGTAAATAATTAAAAATGTATTGAGTGGTCACTCTGGTTTTTTATTTTAGAAAATCTGGCAGCCGTGGTCGACAGTTATAATGGGGGTGGGGGGGGGGGGCGATATTTGAAGACAGGGACTCAAAAACTTAGTGATAACTGGCAAGACTGATGGGAAATGTGACACGTGCTCCCACATTTCCTTATCTCATATAAAAGGTAAAGGTAAAGTCGGCTGATGTGAACCAGCGTCATTGCACACGGTTATAAACCATAAGTGCTCTGCCACCAGTACAGACCGCTGATAAGAAACTGCCCGCCTGTGTCGCCATCGGCACGCAACTCCGTAGCTACAGCAACGTTCCTCCATTTACCCCAGAGTGTGAACTCTGGTACCCATTTCCTAGAGGCTGGGTGAACCCCTGGAACCGCCCGGTTTCGAACACCGGCCGTGGGCTGCTGCGAGTCGCAGCTGGATTTGAAAGCGAGCCACCAATAGACTGCGCTGACGCGGCACCGCATATCTAATATGGTTTTTTTTTTTTAATTATCTATCCCACACAGCGCTGACGTCTCCACGTTCGTCTCTTCCATTTCTTCTAACCTAATTGTCAGCAACGACGGCAACGTGACGTGGTTCTCCATGGTCATCTTTAAGAGCTCCTGTTCGATCAATGTCAGGTATTTTCCATTCGATGCTCAGAATTGTAGTATGCAGTTCGCCTCCTGGTCTTACGATGGAAATCAGGTATATACGTTTGGTAAACGTTTTCATCAACATCCCCATCATCATTAGTGTACGGTTAGACGTCACATAGTGCTAGCATTCGATTCCTCCTCTCCGCTCTATTGCATGCAACTGTCTCGATTTCTGACTCTAAGTTTAACCCAGCGTTTTTGGCTTCTCCTAATAATGTTCTTCTTAATGTTTTCCTTGGATGTCCTTTTTTGCTCTGATCGTTTGTTTCCCATTTTAGAGCTTGTTTAGTAATTCTTTGCTCGTTTGATAAATGTTTCCTCATGGTTTAACTGGTCATATAATAGCCCCCCTCCTCAGTTATACTTGGGGGAGGACGGGCAGGAGGGGGAAGGATTTGTTAAGGGACTAAGTTGTCCACTGTTCGTGCATGTATTCTCTTTTGGGGTGTTTGCTTGTGCAAATCCTATTATTTTAATTATGCTGTTATATATATGTTTGCCATTCATCAAATTATTATTGTTGTTGTTATTATTATGATTATTACAATTCATGGACCCTAGAGGTCGCCCAAACCACAAATTAATGTGTAAGAGCTGATAACTCCCCCTCCCCCCCCCCTTTATTTTCTTTGCATCGGCACCTATGGTCTATGTTCATATCCACATGGGGCAGACATTTTTAAATTGATCTGGTTCGACGCAGGCTAAAACGGGTATCAGAAAGTGTATTGGGAAATAAAGGGGACTGACTTGCTATTACCCACATAACCGACTGAGTGCCAAACAGATAGAAATACAGTGGAACCTCGCTTATCGAGCATAATTCGTTCCAGAATCATACTCGTTAAGCGAAAGACTGGTTATGCGAAACAATTTTCTCATATAAATTAATGTAAAATACGATAATGCGTTCCATGTCGAAAAAATACTCACAAAATGCTATGTATAACGTTTATTCAACGAAAATTATATACATATTGTTAAGGAGAGTGAATCATCTTTTCTTCAAACGCGGAACGAACCCACCAGGAATGCGAATTCGATTTGCAGAAGAAGAAAAAAAAGTCTAAAATTATGATATATAGCTATTTTTTTTTTTTTTACTAGAAAGATGTCCAGAGACATTTGTTTTTACCGACGCTTCAAAATTTGGCGAAAATGCGACACAGCATTATCATTAAATAAATTTGCAGCGCGTATAGCTACTTCTTTATTAGGGTGATGCTTCGCAATGTAAGATGCAACAGTTTCCCAAACTTTCAGCATTTCTCTTATTTTGCCAGAAGATTGTTGCTTTTCTGTTACCTCCTCCTCCTTGACAAACTTTCCTCCAAAACTTTTTGCTGTGAAACACAATGCAACTCCATAAGCTCTTCGATGGTCAACTCTTGGCTGTGCTCTTCCACAAGCTCTTCAATATCACTGTTATCCACCTACAGTTCCATGATAGTGGCCAAAGACACAATCTCGTTGATTACAGGTTCCACAGGTACTGTCTCGAACCACTTAAAGTCACAAATCGACAACGCTCTCCGGCCAAAGCTTCTTCCAAGCAGAAGTTAGAGTTCTCTTGGTAACCCCTTCCCCCGCCTTGTCGATCGTCTTGAGGCAGGCAACGATGAGGAAGTGATTTTTCCAAAACTCTCTGAGAGTGAGATTGGTCCCTTCAGTCACCTGAAAACAATGCTCGAAGAGTGCTTTAGTGTAGAGCTTCTTAAAGCTAGAAATAACTTGCTGGCTGGAGTAACGGAGTGGTGTTGGGAGGCAGAAACTGGATCTTGATGAACTTAAATTCTTCATGGAGGTCATCTTGTAGGCTTGGAGAATTCAAGCACAATATAACAACAGTTTGAGAAAATGTTTGATCACAAGAGACACTACGATGCTTCTGGAACGAGTGCTAAACACAGACTGATGTAATATGCGCACAATCCGGGACTTCCCCTCTCCTCGCCACACGTTATGCGAAACGTCGCTCGTTAAGCAAATCATTCTTTTACAATTTATTTTGCTCGTTATGCGAATCACTCGTTATGAGAGGTGCTCGTTAAGCTAGGTTCTACTGTATTGCTGCAAAACGATATGGAGTTGACACCTTATAATCCAAGACTCCCAGTGGCGTATCTATGGTATGGCAAATAGGGCAGACGCCCTAAGCGCCATTTGAACGAGGCAGCCAGAATTAATTTTTTTAATGACGTCTCATTGGGGTGGGCGTGGCGGCGCACTGAGACTCACTATACAGTCTTCCTATTATGCACTTTAAAGTCTTTAAAAGTAGCCCAAACTTTGTAATGCCAATGCAAATTACCACACGCACAAAATCAGACCTCCCTGCCATGGGCCACGATACGCACTTGAAGACTCCTAGAAATGTGGAAATGGGATGTCTACTTGCACGCAAACTTGGAGGCCACAGTAACAGCTGCCTATTGAGGGGGGAATTCATGCACTAGAATCCCTGTCGAATCGAGGATGTTACACCAAACCTGAGAAGCCAGGTTGTCCCAGATTATAATCGGTAAAAGGAACAATTCAGGGTATCACAGAGGGGTACATGATATTGTGTCAATTGATCTATTTTAAAAAAAAAAAAAATACTTTTCACTCACAACACTGGAACTTCCTGGCTCATGGACAGTAAAGTAGATTACTCGGATTTTTCAAGATTTGTTATTTTTTTTTTTTCGCATTCACCAGCTCTAAACTTCAGTGGAAAGATGTGGTTGTTTATCCACTTCTTCTTCTTCTTCTTCGCGTTCACCAGCAGTACACTCTGGCGGAAAGTTCTGGTTGCTCGTCCACTACTGAACTGCAGCCCTGCTCCAGAACCTGAGTGTTGCGTGTGCATCAGTTTTACAGATCTCATTCTCTTGAATACAGACTGTTGGTTCCTTGCCTCTCCGGCAGATGCACTCCGACTTCAAAGGAAGCTCCCCAATTAGTCGACTCTTACGACATGCTTTTGGGGAGGCAGTGGGTCTATTCTTGTTTTCCCCACAATGGGGCCCCGGAACCCACACGGGGGTATCCACTTCTGTAACTTGGTCTTTTTTCAGAATCTGAGTTTATGTGCACATCGGTTTAACAGATCTGGATTATTTTATGCAGACTATTGGTTCCTTTCTCTCTCTCTCTCTCTCTCTCTCTCTCTCTCTCTCTCTCTCTCTTTCTCTCTCTCTCTCTATCTCTCTCTCTCTCTCTCGCTGAGGCAGATGCACTACTTTTTCAAGAAAAACCCTATTTAGTCTACTTTTACGACATGCATATTTGGTGGGTGAAGGAGTGGGTCTTTTTATCTTGCCCCCTCCCCCTCAATGGGCCCCAGAACTCACCCTTCCCCTCCAAATGGGACCCCGGAACTCAAACAAGAATTTTGAAGGTTTAAAAAGTTCGAAGTTGAGGAAATTTTTTTATTTTACTAGGTCTTGTTTCCACATGGTTCGGCCTCTCTTCACCGACCGACTAGACTGCTGAGAGTGTCGCACAGAGCATGAACTCTGTAGCTCTAGCGACGATTCCCAGGGATCTCAGTAAAATTTTCAATTTTTAATGAGGCAAACGGTAAATGAAACCTACGACCCTTAGCGCGCGAGGTAAAATGGCCTAACTGCTGAGCTAGAGTCGTTTAGATTTTTTAGAGGCATTTTTACGATTGCTAATTGCTCTTTTTTTTAAATGAAATAAATTAATGCTAGGGTAATTAATGTCAATAATGGTTATCATTAAGTTAGTAGTTGATTTCTAATTATCTATATTTAAAAAAAAAATGTTTGTATATATGTTATGTATTTTATACCTTAAAAAAAGTGAAATATTATAAATAGTGATAAAATAAAAAAAAATAATGGTTCTAGACTTATAAGGGTCACATAGAAAAATTTATATAAATAGTGATAAAATCAAGGGTGTGTAGTGCTGGGTAATAAACAAATTATAACGAGTGTTAACAAGTTTAAATGGTGCTAATCCATGGGGCTAGGTATTGCTTTGTAAGTGTTGGACGACAATGAATACATTTAACAGATATAAGGATCATATTTTTATACTGTTTATTCGTTCAGATATTTTTAGAGTGATGTCGATATTGGTTGAGTAAATGGTGTTGCTTGGGGTTGTATGCTCTATTTTGAGCCTTTGTCGAGCGTAAAGGGAGATTCCGTAGACCTCGTATGTTTACAGATAATCTGATAAACTCAGCGGGTGACAATGGGTTACCTGTTGTTTACTATAAGGACTGTGTTACAGCATAGCAGATCATAGATCAAGGGGGCATGTTTGCATGACATAGTTTGTTTCATTTACTTGTTCATAATAATATTAGTCTCACTTTTTAATTGTCGGACTGTGTCGTGGTAATTTAAAAAAAACACACACAATTTTAAAAAATTGTTTGTTTCCCCAGAGAAAGCTTTAAATTCCTTGTCTGTCAGGTCTTTCACAGCGAGCAACTTTTCAACATTTTCACGTCATTCAGCTTGTGAATTTTTTTTTAAATTTATTTACGGTGATCAAATGATCAAATGTTTTTACTCACTGACGATTTTTCAAATTTTTTTTTCAAATGTCGATCAAATTATCAGATCCTTCATTATCCTACATTGTCCAGGTTTTTCACAGCCGGACGCTTTGTCGATCAGCTTGTCAACTGTGTCACTATGGGACACCTTTCTAACTTTTCACTGACGTACACTTTTTTTAACTTGTTACCTTTTTTTTTTTTTATGATGATCACATTGCTATTTTTTTTCCCACTGTAGGACGCGTGATTTTCAGCTTTTTACAACGTCGATCAATTTATCAGATCTTTCACTATCATCGCTAGGCATTCGAATATCGAGGAATTAAGAAGAACAGAGAGATGAACCCACGGATAGAGATAGTTAAATGCTCAGATTAGTCTTTGAAAAATTGTCCCGTTTGGGAGGGGAGAAATCGTCCAAGTCTGCCAGAATCCATAATACTATGTTATATCTGCCATTAAATTCACCTACGTGTGTGAACTCGTCATCTTAGATAGCCCGCCATCTTAAGGGAATCGGTCGATTTAAGAGAGCCTTCCTAAAAAATACTTTACTAAATACTGTATCTAATAAGCTCCCCAAGGCGCGTCTGAATATTCCACTGTATAAACCTAATCAACCCCAGCCCCCCCCCCCCCCCCCCCGATCCCCTCCCCCCCCCTTCCTCTTCAACCCATAATTATTTTTTTCTTAGGGAAGAGAGAGAGAAAGAGAGAGAGAGAGAGAGAGAGAGAGAGAGAGAGAGAGAGAGAGAGAGAGAGAGAGAGAGAGTGGAGAATAAATGAACTTTCTTCAAAAGGGATCACAACATTCATCGCTTCCAAACAATAATATTTGACACATTTGTAGAAATGAATCATGTTAAGCTCATAGCAAAATACGTAACATGAATATTTAAAAAAATGTATTGATGGATAACACATTCAAACATACATGAAAAACCTCAAAAGCCATCACAATCACACATGCAAACATGCACACAATAAAACATACACAAACTTATCCCTCATTTGTACACATACACACACACAAAGAGCGCGAGAGCGAGCGAAAGAGAGAGAGAGAGAGAGTGTGTGTGTGTGTGTGTTCGTGTGTGAGATAGCGAAAGAGAGAGATGAATATACTTTAGCAAAATGCGTTACAAGCAAGGACAATTTCAAATTACACACACAAGAGACTGACTCACGTTTTCAGCCAACAAAAAAGTAATATTGTGGCACCTATAACGACCTACTAGGTGAATTTACTGATGAACACAGACAGGGGCGACACCAGTAACTTCATCCCCAACAGCGAATGGGAACTGATCAGCCTTCTTGTTGATAGAAGGACTCGTTTTTTGTCTGTCTGTCTGTCTGTTTGTCTGTCTGTCCGTTCGTCTGTCCGTTCGTCTGTTTGTCCGTCATTGGGGCTGTCTGTCTTTCTGCCTGCCCTCTTGTCTCTCTGTCTGTCTGCCTGGCTGCCCGCTTGTCTGTCTGTCTGTGTGCCTGCCTGTCCGTTCATCTGTCTGTCCATTTCCCTTTCGTTTAGTTCGCTAAAGGAATGTACGAAGCTTTTGTATATGGGATTAGGGCTGGTGCAAAAACTGTTCTTCAGATTGACCACTGGGTTTCCCTTCAGTTACAGAAGTTCAGGAAAACATGAACTGTACAAAATCGTTTCTTGAACTTTCCATCTTCAGAGAGTTATGGCCATCCTGGAACCTTAAGCTGGCTGTGAACGCAAGTTTGTTGATATGCCACTTCACGTATAAGTGCATCAAGGTCTTTTCTGGGTTGCGGTCTGGTCCAGTCTAGCGTCCTTTGCTGTCCCCTCTTGAACATATAATATCATGATGCCAAAGAAAATAAAGAAATAACGCCAATAGGGGAAAAAAGCAGATCCAACAAATAGCGGCATTAAATAGGCATCAGTGTTTAAATATAGCTGGCAACAACATTCTCTGAAGACGGGAAATTGGATGAAGAAATTAACATCAGATGCAGTAAGGCAAACCAAGTACTGGGACAGATAGATTCTTTCTTACAGGATAAGACAATCACAGTTAGCACCCCCCCCCCCCCCCCCCCAACCAAAAAAAAAAAACCTTATACAAAGCATATTCATTCGTTTCTATACTACCAGTGTCAGACATGTTTACTCACAACAAACTGTAATTGAAAATTTGTCGCCATGGAAAGGAGAAGGGCTGCAAAAGAGATCAGATCAGGAATGAGATCACGAGAAACAAATTAAGCACAGAACCAATTCTAAATTACATACAAAGAAAGCAAATCAAATGGTTTGCCCACTTGTAATGTTTTGTGACGCCATATCGTGCAAGGCATTGGCCAAAAGAGGACAAGGACGTAAAGAATTTGGGATTCAGAAAACAAAAATAACAGTAATAAACGCGTAACTACTGTACTAAACATCATTTAATCATCATTTTAATATGTAAAATCTGTGTAATTAACGAGGTCAATCAATCAATAAAGAGTTCTTCAGCATCTGGGTCATCTATTGACTTTATATGTGCGGCTCCCCACCCCCACCACACCACCACCACCAACACCCACCTACCCTTTCATATATATTTATATAAATGAAATGGTGTCGGACACTGGCAGTATAGAAACGAATGAATATCCTTTCTTTGAGTTGTTTCTTTATGGTGACTGGAATTGCCTTTTACTGTAAGAAGGAGTCTGTCTCAATACTTGGTTTAACTTACTGCAACGGATTTTAATCTCTTCATCCACTTTCCCTTCTTTAGAAAATGTTGTTACCAGCTATAATATATAAATATAATTACACACTTAAACAACCTTTAGGACCAAGAGGCCTATTTCATAGAACATTTTCAAGAAATCTGCGCCCCCCCCCCCCCCGCATTTTTTCTTTGTGTCACCTCAAATACCTAGATTACTTTTAATTATAAAATATAAGAACAAAACAGCCTTTGTCTTCATTTCTACTTTTAACATGTATCCAACATTTTTTTTTCAGCGACGTCCCTTATTCTATATCTTCAACATGATTCTGCCGTGCCTCATCATCACTCTGGTGGCGTTACTAGGGTTCTACATTCCCTCCGACTCCGGCGAGAAGGTTACCATGGGGATCACCACGTTACTCTCCATGACAGTGTTTATGATGCTGGTGACAGAAAACATGCCGCCGACGTCAGATGTGCTTCCTCTTGTTGGTTCGTACATTTTTTAATATTCAGTACTGATGATCTTTTCACAGCTCATAAAAGCGAGTTAAAATATAAGTTTTGAGATCATGTATCTTTCCTGTATAAATGTGAGTCGTGGACTCATATTCACTCTTTGAAGAAACAAATCGGAACTCTTGAACCGAAACAATACAGACAAATTATTAGAATTGTGTGGACTAAGAAGGAGAAATACAACATCCTGCAGTGTCCCACATAATCTGAACAACTATGAAAATTGGCTTATAAACAGCATCCTGTCTCACATGCTGAGGTATTTTGCCCATGATAAGCGTCATGGTGGCCTGTAGAGAATAGGACGAATGTGGAGTGGGTGCAGTTTCCGGAAAACGAGGCAGATCATACCTCTGCGAAGACGAATACAAGACATTGAAGATGCAATGGTTATAAAAGCACATAGGGCTTCTGGTAAGAGAGAGACTTTCATCTTTGCCATGAAGAGAGCGACGTTCTGTAAAGGACCTGCTGATTGAAAATGATTTGTGATTTTAAACTATATACCGCTCGCTATATTAGGCATTGACCGAGAGGAGAAGCATTGGAGAACATCGTGATGACTGGTCGGATCAACGACAGAAGAGGCAGACCAAGAGATGCGATGATTGACGTTTGAAGCGATTGGAGGTAGAATATCATTTTTGAAACTGATTCGAAATACCAAGGACCGATATCTACGAAGAGACATAAGCGCCGACACCGTTGGGCAGGGCATATGATGATGATGATGATGACGATGATGTGGTGAGGATGAATGGTGATTTTAGTAACAGCAGGCACAGGGACAGTTGCTGCCATTGTGTAAAGGATCCTTTTTTTTTTACGCCTGTGGCCCATCGGATCTGTGATCGCAGAGTCATATTTTTATAGACCATTTGGCACTCGATGGATGATGTGATCAACATTACGCTGGCTGCCTTTACTTCCCATGACTTTGCATGGTACTAATTTCAGGCTGGGTCGACCTGGGAGTGAAAGTCATTTTTTAAGTACTCCAAGTTGATGCTGCTTCAAAACCCTCGGCCTTCGAGAGTAGAGGTTATCGCCTAGCCTCTATACATCCACAGCGGCTCCCTGTGAGTCATGAACAGACTCGCAGTCATTATGGAAGAGAACATATGGTTTTGAGCTGAAAGGATACAAACATTCTCGGAATACTATGGACCAAAAGGAAAAGAAATACTAACATCCTAAAAGATATTAACATCAAGGAAGATTGGCTCATAAACAACACATTGTCTGGGAAACTGAAATGTTTTGCCTATGACAAATGCTCTTTTGGTTTGGAAAGAATAGCATCGGAGAGTATGGTAAACACAAAGATGGGTACATGTCCTTAGGTAAGAAATTGCACGAGACATGGGAGCTGCCGAGAGACTGAGTAGCTTTCTTGCGAGCTTTGGTGAGAGCTACGTTTTGTACAGGACCTGCTACATGATGATGATGCATGATTCCCTACCACGTGCGAGTATTGGCTCTGTATAGCTTACCAGTTCTGTTTATCAACTCGTTGATCTCTGACTATATTCTTCTTCGGCATTCCGAAACCTCGAGGTTCATTGCTACAGATATCACCCACCTGCATTCATCTCTCTGGTTGGTCTTCGCTTTACAGCTGGCGACACCAAGTGTTTGTAGATATGTCTGGAAATTACCTCTCCATTGTATTCTTGATCTGCTTCATGGTCTAGGACCCTTCAACTCCTTTGAGTACACAGTTTTTAGCTCTCTCTAATCTGACATTCTCTCCATATGCCTCAACCATTTCAGTTTATTAGCCCTAATGATTGCAAGTGATCAGTGATGATTTAAAACACATTATGTTCTTCCTTCTCACTCCTCATTTCCAGCTGTGTGCAAGTCTCTCTTGACTAAATAAAATGATTCTATATACCTCGTCGTCTGTGGCTTAGGCGTTGCCAACGAGCTTCGTAATGATGTTGTGTATGGTTCGATCCCAGCTGTGTGCCTTGCGCCTTGCGTTGGTTTTAACAGTGGTATCGAGAAGCCGACCGTCCAGGAAGCAATTGAAAACTACTCGACATAAATTTGCCTAGAAAACCCACAACATCCAAAAAATGCTTTGGTTGGTTCTGCAATGTCCTGTAAAGGATACGCAACTAACATACTTCGTCAGTAGAGATATATTACGTTGAATACATTTTAAAACTGATATGTAACTCCCGCTATGTTTGCTTCACTCACAGGTCTGTACTACGGAGTGACCATATTTATTGTATCATTCGCCCAGCTGTGTGCCTTGCGCCTTGCGTTGGTTTTAACAGTGGTATCGAGAAGCCGACCGTCCAGAAAGCAATTGAAAACTACTCGACATAAATTTGCCTAGAAAACCCACAACATCCAAAAAATGCTTTGGTTGGTTCTGCAATGTCCTGTAAAGGATACGCAACTAACATACTTCGTCAGTAGAGATATATTACGTTGAATACATTTTAAAACTGATATGTAACTCCCGCTATGTTTGCTTCACTCACAGGTCTGTACTACGGAGTGACCATATTTATTGTATCATTCGCCACGGCGATGACAGTCCTCACACTTAACATTCACCATATGGGCTCCAGGGGAAGACCTGTCCCTGCTCTCATTAGACGAATCTGCTTCGAGCTTTTGGCCAAGTTGCTGTGCCGGAAAGTGGACACTTGGGAAGAGGAACACGTCAATCTTGTAGGTATTCGTCATCATTATCATCATCAACATCATCAGCAGCAGCAGCATCCCTATTACCATCATCAGCAGCATTCTTATCATCATCATCATAATCATCATCATTATCATCATCATCGGCTCATCAGCATCATCATCAGCAGCAGCATTATTAGCATCATCATTATCGTCGTCAGCATCACCATTATCATCATTATTAGCAGCAGCATCATTATTATTATCATCATCATCATTATCATCTTGTCAAGCTTTCTATCAATAGTTTATGTTTATGCACACTGGCTTTTGTACATAGGGTTTGATCTCGATAAGCCGTCGTTGTCTGTATGTAAAGGGTCTCCTCGACTTACGGCCGAGTTGCGTTCCGACTAATAGGTCGCAAGTCGAATTGGTTTTTTTCCCCCACACTATATTAATTCAAATTGCGGTTCCAGTTAGTCTGTCATCTCCAGTAGTACTGAAAAAAAAATTTACTGTTGAGACCCTGCTGCAGTCTAGGCAGAAGTTTTGGGAACTGTTTCACCCTACCAGTGTAGTTAGTTTTATTTCTCTTTTGACTGCTGTTTTTGTAACCTGTGAGTGCGTTTATATGTGCATGTATGTGTACGTGTGTGTGTGTGTGAAGTAAATTCTGATGGTCTTTAGTCGCATGTGACATTATGTCAAGAAACAGGTTTATTTATATTAACACTAACCAACCCACCTAAGACTACAGGTCACCATTGGATGCCTCAGTAGAAGTGTTTGCCTTGTTGAAATTAGTAACAGCTGCTGTGACAATATATATTGCAGTTCTATTGACGGACTGTTTGAGCTGGCACGTCTGACGTACTGCCTTTTAAATGTTTTACTTGTGGATTCTATTGCATTTAGGGACGGAGTTATATGATTAAGTTATATTACTGAGGTAGACCCATACCAAAATGGGTACCAAGAAATACTTTAGGACGTAAAAGAAGCTGGCGCGATGTTGACCATGCCACCAGCTAGTACCGGTTGGTCGGTGAACATATGGATCATAGCATCATACGCCCTAGGCGTCAATCACACGATACTTTATCTTTTTTAACTTATGCTGATGGATGTGTATATCGTGGACGCAAAATGAGGAGACATACTGACATCTTGAAAGATCTGAACATCAAGGAAGATTGGCTAATAAATAGCATCCTGTCTCGGAAGCTGAAATATCTTGGTCACATCAAGCGCCAAGATGGATTGGAAAAAAAATTAAAGCAGAAGACATGGTACCAGGAAGGAAGGGGCAGGGACCGACCAACACGAAGATGGGCACAGGATATAAGTGACTCCTTGAGTATGAAAGTGCATGAGGCGGGAGAACTGGCGAGAGACCGAGTTGTTTTTTTTCTCAGGCAGACAGTGATGAGAGCAACGTTCTGCAAAGGACCTGCTACATGGTGATGACGATGATGATGGGTGTGTGAGTGTGTGTAGAGTAAAGCAAAGTAAATTAAATTTTTTTTACGCCTTAGGCGCATCGGGCATATGTGAAGAGTGCTCATATTTTTTACAGACTAATCGGCACTGGGTGGGTAATTTGGTCAGCATTGCGTCGGCCGTCTTAACTTTCCAAGAACATACATCCTGGTACCCATTGAAGGCTGAATCGACCTGCCACATACCACACAATGATGAAAATTCATGCAGCCAGCAGTAGGTTTCGATCGCGGTGCGTTGGAATTACAAGTCGGACTCGCAACGCCTAAGCCACCGACGCCGCATGCGCGCGCGTGTGTGTGTGTGTGTGTGTGTGTGTGTGTGTGTGTGTGTACATATAAGTGCTTGTATACCCATATTTTCACATTTGTTGTTATTCTAAAAAATGATTTAAACTGGTATAATTGCATGGTGGTATATAACCGACTTTAATATAATATAATCATATTTTTATCATCCTAGTTTACGCCCGACTGCAACGGTGTATCTCGTAGTTCATCAAATTACATACGCTTGAAACTTTCAAACCAAGAGGAGACTGAAATGATAAACCTGGTATGTCTTCTTGGCAAAGTTTGATTCTAATAGGTATGTCTACAAGTTCAGTTTGATTAAACACAATGAAGACTGGATCCATGTTGAAGTCTGACTACAGGGCATTCACTGTTGTCTTTGAAAATAATATCGGTGAAGCTCCAGTCTCTTCAGTGGTGTGATTCTCGCAGTATGTTTTATTTAAACACACACACAAAAAGGTGTAATTGCAATTATGTTGTTGGCTCTCACTCTGCATTCGTTAATAATCCACAAGACCCTATCAGCAGACTCAACAGAAAGCAGCATACAAGATTGTTATTCTTTAAACAGGACACTGCAGGCTCAACTACCAAATATATAAAATAAAATTTGTTCAGTCCTTACGTTGGCGTCTGTGGTCTAGGCGTTGCGAACGCGCTTCGTAATGTTGGGCTGTCGAGTTCGATCCCTGCTGCAGATTGTTTGTCTTGCGATGGTTTCGACTGTGGTACCGAGAGTCGATCGACCAGAAAGCAATGGCAAACTACTAGACGTGAATTTGCCTAGAAAAACCACAACAGTCAGAAAATGCTGGGGTTGGTTCTGCAACGTCCTGTAAAGGATACGCAATTAAAAGAAGAAAACAACAGTCCTCACAGTGTGCCTGTCAAACAGGGCCACAAACACCTGAGCACATTCTGCAGACCTGCCCACTCTACCAACAACTTCGAAAAAGAAACCTGGCCTCACGAGCAAAGTGTGCATAGCAAGCTATGGGGAACCATGAAGGACCTGCTACTGGCATGCGACAACAACTCTGATGGTCTGATCTGAGCATACAAAACAGAAGGCAAAAAAGAAGAAGACTCTCTATTCCCGGCTGTGTGCAAATCCCTCTGACTATATAAAGAGATTCTATATACTTCGTCACTAGAGATATTTTACTTTGAATACTTTTTAAAACTGATATGTAACTCACGTTATGTTTACATCATATACAGATCTGTAATACCAAGTGACCATATTTAGTGTATCATTCACCACTGTGTGCAAATGTCTCTGACTATTTAATCTGAACAAGGAACTTCAAGGTTTCGGAATGGTGAAGAAGAATATAGTCATAGATCAACGAGGTGATAAACAAAGCTGGTGGGGGGGGGGGGGGGGGGGGGTAAACTCGCTGTCCTGACTCGCATTATGCCTGGAGATTACGCCTAGTTGGTGTAGCCCTAATTACAACTTCAGTTCAGTTCAATTTGCAGAAAACAAAGATTTCAAAGTTTGGCGACTTCAGCCAGCTTCAGTTTGAACGGCGGTTATATCGTCGCCAGGTTTTCTTTGTAGATTATTTAATCTTTCTTTTGTGGTGTACAGCCACATCGAAGTTATCTCTGTTCCTGCGTTTATCGTCTAACGTGGTTTTTAGGCTGGCTGGTTTCGGCTGCTCCTTGTTGGGTGTTTATTACTGTAACATGGTGGAGTGTGTTGACAGTCCTGAAAAGGACTTTCAGTTTGCCTAGGACGGCTCTGGAAAGGGATTAGGTTGGTTTCCACTGGGCTTGGTGCTGGCTGTTTCTGCGTGGGCTGTCTCTGGGTTCTGGATAGGTTGACTCTGCGTGGGTTTTCTCTGGTGGGCTAGCAGTGTCTGGCTCTGTTGTTGGTGATGTAACGGTTACCTTTGTTTCTGTTGGTCAGTTCCCATCGATTGTTTCTTGTCTTTTTGTTTTCCATCTATGGTTCTGAGGACTCTTTCCATTTCACGGAGGTTATTTTCAAATTCCTTTTTAGCGATGTATTGATCAGAGTTTTTGTTTTATTAGTCATCGTCGTCGGTTTGTGGGCCGTTGAATGTTTGTTGCTAGCAGGTTCCCTCCCACTCTCTCTTGTGGGGTTGTATAGTTTTGTTCATTTGATAGGCTGGACGTTGGCCTTGTCTACCTCGTGGTCGGTTACCTGTTCTAGTATGCATCTTGTCTCCTTGTATACTCTTGCTTGGAACTCTTCTCGTCTTTCCTCTGTTTCTATTTGTGGTGCATCTTCTGTCGCTGCTACCAGTGGGTTTATTTCGGCTACATATGTTCTTAGTTAGTGTTGAATTTCCATAAATTATTTGATGATACTTCTTGCTTCTTTAAGCTCATCTTGAGCACTCGAGCGCTAGGCTTCTTGTTCTGTTATTTCTTTCTTCATGTTAGCGATTTCCTCTTTGAATTGGTAGATCAGGTTTTTAATCTGTATCATCTCCTGCTCTTTGGACTTCTTTTCTCAGTTCAGTTACAATTTCTCTGACGGTTGAAGTATAAATGGATCTGCCCTAATTGGTCTACCGCCCAGACTGAGATTTGTTTCCTTTCAGGATAGTATGGTAAACCTTCACGTAGCAGCCGGAAGTTGACAAACCTACCGAACGATCGTCAAGTATTTAATAGCCTAACCCTTCATGGTCGGAACCTCAGGTTGCTTCCTAACCGTTGGCGGCCTCAATATAACCTCACGGTAGAACGGGACTTACCGGCTTTTGTACATATAGGATTCTCATCTGTGATGTGTTAGTCTAGCAGGTTGTACTATTAGGGGAAACTGCAACTTCGTCGCGACCTTATTCTAACCAGAATGTGTGCATTCAGATCAAAATCATGGATGGATTCCAGTCCCAGCACCCTGGCCTCCCTCATCAACGTTCGTTTGAGGGTTTCTAGTGGGCCTTCTCGCTTCCTCAGTTCCTCTATTTCCCATTCCAATGCAGGTGTAGCCATTACGGGTGCCCTTATTATAACTTCCGTGGATACTAAAAGGGGTAAAGGGGCGTTTGTTGGTCTGCCATACAGAGTGAGATCTTCTGATCTCAGGGTTTCAAACTTTTCGACGGCCTGTCCAGAGAGGATCAAGGCCCACACCTGTTCGCCCGACCTCTCTTCCTACACTTTCCTATCCCCACACTGGGTTGCAGATTACCTCGTTTCCTCATCTGGGTTCTTGGGCTTCATTTGGGGGAGGGGGGGGGCAACAGAGTATACCCACTGCTCCCTAACAAGCATGTCGTAAAAGCGACTAATTAGAAGTGTCTCGTTCGAAGTCAGTTCATCTGCCTAAAATATGAGGAACCAACAGTCTGCATACAATTAAGCCAGATTTGTACAAAGAATTTGAGCGCAAAACTCAAATTATGAGACAAAACCAAAGTTCAGGAACCAAAACTTTCCCCTGGAGTTTACAGCCGGTGAACGCAAAGAAGAAGATTACAAATAGCTATATTTTGCCAACATTAGAATTTTGCCACCCACAAAAGTTTACCATGCTGTGCGGCTGCACATCTTGCACATGCATAAATACGGCCCTAGCTATCAACGATTTCAGCACCAATGCCCATCTATAACACTAATAAAATTATTTAAGCAGTAACTTTACGGGGATGTTATGAAACAAAACTTACACTGCTTTCATTAGCGACGTTAAAGAGCATGGGTAAGTGCAAACCAAGATATAACAGCAAAATGAGTGAGTTAATTTGTTATACCAGAACATAATAAATGAGCAAAATAGTATGACAGATGCACAGATTAGGTAGAGAACTAATCAAATCCCTGCTAATCAAGAAGTGATTATACAACGCAGGCGCTTGAGAGGGCACACACTGAGAGACTTGATAGCAGTATAACTGTAGTGTCTTTCATTTGACTTATAGAGCAAATGAGATCCAGCTGAAACCTAAAAACACTCGGAGAAAAAAATTACAGAGATGAATAATAGAAGGACATGTGTATCCACATAAGATGGCAAAGACGTGAAGACCTGACGTAAACTGGTTTAGATGATATGCTCCAACAGGTGATAAACAAGATGTTACAAACTAAAATAATGTGTCAGCTTTGCGTGACAAATTACAAAAAACAAACAACGGACGTTTGCGACTTGTATGTAGCCTTCATCAGCAAAATAAAGACTAAAAACAGAACATAACAAAAGAAAAAAAAATTAACTGATTCTAAAATTACTTCTCTACCATTTTCAGATATGTAAACAACTAGAAAACGTCATAAATTAACTGCATAATTATTTAAAGTACGTGATACTTACCTATCCCCTTTTGAATTTTTTTTCAAGTAGTTAATTGTTTGAGGAAATTCATATCGGTCCAGGCTGTGCGGCAATTGTTTTTACTTTTCTAGCTTTACTGTTATGTCGGCTCTGTGGCTAAGTCTATTCGAACGCTTCGTAATACCAAGATGCCGGGTTCGATCCCAGCTGCGGGCCATGCGCCTTGCGTTGGTTTGGACAGTGGTATCAAGAAAGCTGACCGTCCAGAAAGCAATGGCAAACTACTGGCCAGGAGCTGTTGGGGTTGGTTCTGCAACGTCATGTAAAGGATACGCAACTAACCTATAGAGCTTTACTGTTATTATCTGATTTCAATAAGAGGTAAAGGTGTGAAGAAGAAGATGTAATGCGACCACCCTGGTGGGGGGGGGGGTGAAAAATGAAAGATTCTTCAATTATATGAAATACTTCTAAATATTATTTGTATTTCTCTGCAGGAGTTAAAGGAGATGACCGACTTGTGTCCACCGAGTCTTGTGGACATTCCTTTCATTGACAGCGAATCGTATCAAGGCAACGGCACGCTGCCAAGAAAGTTCCTCGGGTACCGCCCGTCACACGCCAACACTCCGTCATCAGATCCAGGTCTGGACAACCCTGCGTTCGAAACGTACTTCACGAAAGTTCTCCAGAAAGTCTATGAGACAATAGAAAGGAACGATGTTCGCACCGCAGAACAGGATAAAAGGGAAGGGATTAAACTGGAGTGGCAACAAGTGGCGCAGATCACAGACCGGCTACTGTTGACTTGCTTCGTCTGCTTCACGCTGACAATTACGGGTGTTGTACTCTTGATTCCGCCCGCCTCAGTCACTGTTTGAGCATGACCATCTCTGGAGTCATGGCTTGAGCATTGCTGCGCCGGTGATGTGACCCTCTTGCTGGATACTGCTGTTCGTCCTTTATGCAAGGTTAAGGCTTCGATATGAAAGCATTATAGATGTAATATTTTGTGCACATGTGATTTAATTACCGAAATAACATGTATGAACATAGACGCCATTATTGCAGTCTCTTATGTGTTGATCTGTCTTGTAGTCAATGCCCTCCTGCTTTTCCTTTGAGTCGTGGAAGTATGAGGAAAAATACGAGCAGGGAAAGGATCTGAAGGAGGCAAATGAGGAGCGAAGGACAAGGAAGAAATAGAGATGAAGACCGCAAAGAAGAAGAATGAGGAGAAAGAGAAGGAGAGGGAGAATGAGTAATGTTAATAGTAATACAAGGATGACGATGATTATGCTACTAATAAGAAAGCAGACCAGGTAAATAACAAAATTAATGAGGATACCAAAAAAAAAAAAAAAAACATATCTAGGGTACAAAAAAGGTATGGTATTAAACTGGGATGGCAACAAGTTAAGCAGATCACAGCAGTTGTATCAAATCGAAGAGGGGGTGTGTGGCGGGCCGTTCCTTGTGTGAATAACAAAATAGTAAGAAATAAGTTTTTGGTGTTGTTCACGTTTCCCAGCCCATCTACACACTTTCTCAGTCTGGTCTAGGCCAGGTGGGTATCACGTTGTACTGTTTTCTTCAGAACGATTCTCGTGGGAACTAGGCTCAGGCCTAGGGTAGGGGGTTTGTGTAAGGGCCAGTTCTAGATGATCGGGGGTCGGTAAAAGCTGTGTCGTCGTGCAGTATACAATGCGCGACATCGGCGCTGATGTAATTGGAAGCAAGACAATGTGAAACCTCGCGTAGAACAGTCTAAGAAAGTATGAATGAAAGCTCAGTCAGTGTGTAGATGGGCCGGGAAACGTGAGTAGGAATGTGTTTTTATATTCATAAAAATACGTGTGGGGTGGGTGACAAGATATTATCCGCACCGGGTACCACCTGACCTTACTTCGCCACTGAATCACCGACAAGCTCCTGTTGACTCGCTTCGTTTACTTCACCTGAGAATTAGAGATGCATTGGTAATCCCTCTCTCCTCGGTCACCGTTTGAGCATTGCTACACAAGTGATGTGGCCCTCTTGCATGATGCTGTTGCTCCTTTTTATGCAAGGTTAAGGCTTCGATATGAAAGCATTATAGATGTAATCTTTTGCGTAAATGTGAATTAATAACCGAAACAATGTGTATGAATATAAAAGCCATCATTGCAATCCCTTATGTCTTGATAGGTTTTGTAGTTCAGTGTCTTCCAACTTTTTTCTTTGAGTTAAGGCTTCGATATGAAAGTGTTATAGATGTAATCTTTTGTGTAAATGTGAATTAATAACCGAAATAATGTGTATGAATATAAAAGCCATTATTGCAATCCCTTATGTCTTGACAGGTTTTGTAGTTCAGTGTCTTCCAACTTTTTTCTTTGAGCCGTGGAAGAGGATGAGGAGAAAAAAAGAGGAGGTAAAATATCTACAGGAGGCAAATGAGGAGCAAAAGACAAGGAAGAAACAGAGGTGAGACCGTAAAGCATAATAAATGAGAACATAAAAAAAGAAGAATGAGTAATATTATTAGTAATACAATGATAATGATGATGATAATGATTATAAGGATGATGATTATGCTGATGATTAGAAAACAGAACAAGTAAAAAAAAAAAAATGAATGAAGATATGAAAAAATAGTAAATCTACGGTACACACACACAAAAGTAAGGTATTAAACTGGGGTGGCAACAAATTACACAGATCTCGGAGGTGTTGTATCAAAGGGGGAAAGGATGGGGTGGGGGTGCATGTGGCAGACCGCCTCTTAGGTGATTGACAAAATGGTAAAAAAAATACGTGTTTTTATAAGAATAAAAATACGTGTGGCGGGGTAGGTGTATCTGACAGTTTATTATCCACACCGGGTACCACCTGATTTTTTTTTACTACGCCGCTGAATCATAGACAAGCTTCTGTTGACTTGCTTCCTTTTCTTGACGCTCACAATTACAGGTGTACTGTTGTTGATTCCGCCTGTCTCAGTCACTGATTGAGCATTGTTGCACCAGTGATGTGGACCTCTTGCAAGAAATTGATCAGTGTCTTCCTACTTTTGTTTCAAGTGTTACTTTTCAGGTGAACAGTTTCACTCGCTGGAGACGCGGCGATGCAGTGGTTAGACGCTTTATGTCTTGTCTTGCCTTTTGTGTTCAGTTAGTACCGTTAGGGTGTTTGTAACATTACCTACATTAGTAAATACAGTCCCGATCAGCACAAACATCTCATGCAAAGCCACCCTATGCTACCGGAGCTAGACATGGTCACTCACATCAAATCAGAAAAGAAAATTGCTAACCATGAAAGGGAGGTGTCTGAAAAGGATTGCAGGAGTGATCAGACGAGGTCAAATCAGAAATTACGTCACAAGAGAAAAAGTCTTTACATGGTCATTTAAAAATTACATACAAAGAGCGCAAATCAAATGGTTTACCCACTTGGAGAGAAGGTCGCGTGACGCTATACCATACAATGCATACATCATAAGAGGAAAAGGACGCAAAGCACAAGACAGACCAAGAACAAGATGGAAAGATAACTTCAGAGAAACTTCAAAACAGCACGATGTGTCGATGGTCTAATCCGCCACAAGAGCAGGAAGCATCTCCCTCAACACCCGAAGCTGTAGAAGAGGATTCGAAAACAAACAAAAAGACCTTCACTGGTACCACAGCATGTCTTGGGAAGCAAAGGCAGCCAGCAGGATATGGATGACATCTATAAAAATGTGAGTCCTGCACCATATGCACTATACGCCAAGGACGTGAAAACGATCCTTTACTCATTTACTGGCTTCCTTTCTTTTACGATCGTAGTAGAATAAAATGATGCTTTATTATCTACCACTTCGAGCATGAAGATGGAATCACTGTAGCTCTGAAGGGGATAGCAGAAAATGGGGTAATATAGTGACTGATTCTCAGTCGGTACTACGAAAGGCTGAAAATGGACAGATGTGGCATGAGTGGACAACAAAAATTAGTATGTCAATATCACAAGTATTTGCGTGGATATACTGTATGTGATAAGCAAAAGTGCGAGGAAATAAAACAGTGGATTTTCTTGCTACGAAAGCGATAGTTCGAGGAACACTCGTACTGGACTAAAGAGACATTCTGAAGACTATTAATGAACAAATGCTAATAGAATGCCGGAAATTTAAAAAGAGTATGTGTAACAATGTGTGTAGACAAGGAGGGGCGTATGATAGGCAGGGCTGTCTTAACAGCATTATGGGCCCTTGGGCAAATCAGTGTGTTGGATGCCCCTACAACAGCCACTCACAGAAATGAAATATAATATAATATAATATAATATAATATAATATAATATAATATAATATAATATAATATAATATAATATAATATAATATAATATAATATAATATAATATAATATAATATAATATAATATAATATAATATAATATAATATAATATAATATAATATAATATAATATAATATAATATAATATAATATAATATAATATAATATAATATAATAATATTAAAGTTATATTTATTTTACTGGTTCTTCAATAAAACTAGAGTTAAAGCATGAACATTTATTTGATGGCAGAATATGAAATTACTATGGACATATTAAAACAAGATTTGCGGTAATTTATTTCTCAGAAAAGTCGTAAGTAAAGTCATCTGACATAAAGCTTTAAAAAATGCAGGCTGGTTTTGTCAGACAAGACATTTGGCACTTCTTGAATGGCTGCCGTAACCTTCATTTTTGTGCCAGGTTATGCGGGTGTTCAAACGTGCGAGCGTGCTGACACTGCAGTTGTCATGACTGGCCATTACCGGACAGAAGCGATGTTATCAATGCTGCCATGCGCAGCACTAACCGTGATGACGAGCGCGACAAAGGAAATGACTCAGTATCCTACTCTAGGCCGAAGGACATAGAGATGCATCCTGGAGCTGCGAGACATGAAAACAGTGCACTAAGAAGACTAGATGTTTCAATTATCAACAGAGAACAGGTGTCATTAGTCGTTTTAAACTTAAGGAGCTATCGAGGAGGAGTTCGGAGCACCTATAGATCTGTCCGGAGTGCTGTGATGACAATCCTTACTAATCACTTGACTAAACAGATTAGCATTGGGTCTCTATGCTCGTGGGGCCCCCGGGTAAGTGCCCAGTGGGCCTATGGGTTAAGACGGCCTGATGAGAGGAAGAAACTTGTTTTAATCTCACGGCGTAATCAGTGAGTTACGGGAACAGTTAGCATCTACTCATTCGCTGTGGAAGACTGAGTACCTATAGGTGTGCCAGGTGTGCTATGACCTCGATTCTTAGATCAGTAGTAAATCTTAGTATTGACGCTAATTTTAACTCAACGTCTCTTCATTATAGTACAAGTGAGCTTGGAGAAAAGACACTGGGGGCCGTGTAGTGAACAGTTTTACTTTTCAAATTCTGAATGAATAGTTTGTTTCACTATTGGGAGGAATGGGGGGGGGGGGGGGGCGACATTCAGCTGAATAGGGCACAAGTGAGAGAATTTGAATAATATTATTAGAATGTCCTAACACAAAAAGAAAGATAGAAATCCGAAACACCACGAAGAGAAGAATATTCGAAGCTGGTGTGTAAGCGATGGGTCTATGGTACACTGGCAAAAAGAAGGGCAACAGAGAAGTTGTTTGTTTCTCTCTCTCTCTCTCTCTCTCTCTCTCTCTCTCTCTCTCTCTCTCTCTCTCTCTCTCTCTCTCTCTTTATTTCTCTCTCTCTCTCTCTCTCTCCCTCCCTCTCTCTCTCTCTCTCTCTATCAGCTTGTCATATATTTTTATTGTTAATTACGCAATTTCTCTTTATACGGGGAGACAGCTCGAAAACAGAGTTGCAGAATATATCCCCTTTATATATATGGCTT